TACTGTAACATGTCGAAAATGCTGAAAATTCATCCTATCGGGTGCATAAAGCTTTAATTGACTTGACTTGACTTGTGTTTGATAGTTTGTTCGGGATAGATTTTCTAGCTCATGGAATTCATATACTTATAGTATTCTTCACTGATAAGGACACGTGTTGCGTTTGCCTAGTTGTCGTCTGCCACATCGCGCTGTATTCGCTGTAGCCCATCCAGGTTGTAGGAAAGCACAGAGGGTTGAAGCATGACGAAATGCACAAAGTAATCGTGTAGAGTAGGTGTCTTGCGCGTTTCATTTGGGGGTCAGAAAGACTGCAACTGGTTGGTTGGAGACATTCAAGTATGTGGTAATGAACCGACAGGCGTGGCCTTCTTGTGGTCATTTCTTATCTCACCAGAATGATTGAAACAGTATGTATGCACAGTTCGATTGTGTACTATTTGTTTATCATAGGGGTTCACTTTCTTTCTCCCCGAAATAGGTTTGATCCCCGTCCACCTCGCATTACCTTTTATGCATTGCCTGTTTGGCAGCGATCAATCGCTTCACCGAAATGCACTGAGAATGTAGTTGAATTTTTAATTGTCCACAAGCGTGGTATTGATCGTTATAAATTCACAAGTGGTTTCTTACCCAGTATTCGCACATGCCCATTTTTCTGGTGACGCTTACTTTTTAATTTCTGTCACTCTATGCAATACAGGTTAGCCAACTTGTTGATTCGTCAAAGAAGAGTGGAGCAAGAGCTTTGGTGGGCGGTTCTCTTCCTACAGAAGATTCGTTCAAGAAAGGCTGTTTCTATCCGGCTACGATTCTAGCTGATTGCACTCCTAATATGGACTGTATGCGTAACGAAATATTCGGTCCTGTGGCTCCAATCTGCCGGTAAGGTTCAACAATTGCTGTAGTTATTTTAATTTTCGGGTGTTTGACGTCTTCCAATTTATTTTACGTTATACAATTATCAAATGTGTGTGCCAGTAACACAAATTCAAATTGAGCAGTGGTATAGATGTAGCTGGTTCGAATCCCACAATGTGGGCAAACTTCCCCACTTCTAGATAAACCCAATCAGCTTTTAATCGACTGTCATTCCATTGCTTAAAAATTGTCTGTACCATTATGTATCCAGTGCTATAGAAATAAGAAATCAGTTCAGTTCAGCTTTAGAATCATCAGCTATGCACTCTCGTACGCCGGTTTCGGTTACGTCTTTTGCTTGCCCATTCGAATGAAATAGAGCGCGACTATTGTCAGTTGTTGCTGCAGCGTTTTGTATTTTATTACACACCTGAGTGTGATGAACAGCAGACGGGACGGACCCCTCTGTCACGATGACCTGATGGAAACCGGCAACCTGATCCCCTAGACTTGGATTGGCGAACAACACAGGACCACGATAGGTCATGCGTGGTATAGAACCGGGTGACAACAGAGCTGTCTAACACCAAAGTTGGGTGACGGTGGTGGGGCTCGAACTTCGAATCACATGGTCCAAAGCACGCCGGTGACAGCGACTAAACCACTGCACCACCATCAACTCTGCATTTTGTTGCCCACCGTTTCTCGTGGTCATTCCCCAGACTCTTGGTGAACTTGCGTTTGAGAGATTTGCGCACTGTCATATTTGGTATCAGGATGTGTGGTTCTGTGGGCTTCCAGCTAGGCAGCCGAGGTCGATGAGATCCATCGTTTGTGTTTTGATCCTGCCCCAGAATCCACTGTTGTTTTGATTGACACTCGAATGGCCTCCTCAATTATTGAACAGTATTCAGTGATTCCTTTGGTTGGTGTGTGAGCTGAGAGGCGATCAGAGAGTTCCGCTTCGAAGGTCGATTGTCAACTGTCGTTAACAATATGTCGTGTGCACCCGGTGCCGGTGGCTTTATTGCGGTTGTTTACTAGGCGTAAGGAGAATCTGGCTCGTAACATAGCGTGGTCTGTGTCCACGGGTGTTAACCAGTAGGAGCGACGGTCTTCAATGGATCGTGGCTAGCGACAGCTGAGGGCAATGTGGTCTATCTGAGTCCATTGCTGCCAAGAGGTGGTCAGTTTGCATATTAGGCGGTGTTGTTTCTTGTGGGAAAAGCTGTTGATCGATAAAACAATCCATAGTCCACGTAGAGTAGAAATAAGCGATCTCCGTTGTCCGTCCGGTCTGCCTAGGGTTGCATGTAGATCGCCAAGAAACCTTTCTGAATCGTCCAGGGATCCCACTTGAGCTTTGAAGTCTCCAATGATTACTACGATGTCGGTTGACGGAGTACATTGGATTAATGTTGATGGGCCCTTGTAGAATTCATTCTCATTGCTGGCGAACTGGAATCAATTGATACATACATGGACAGGTCAAATAAGCATCGACGCTTCGTTCTATAGCTGTTGACCCGTACTGAGTCGTCTAGACGTACAGCGCACAGTCAGCTACAAACCGGAAACCAATCAAGAAATGAGTGCTGGATTTTGACACCTAGGGCATCAGCAACGCCGTAAGCTTCGATTGCTTAATCGCCTGGCGTACGCAGAGTAAAGCGTGAGGGCGAGGTCTGATCTGGAGATCACAAAGTGATGATTAAGGTAGCGTCTTGTATGTGTATTTGAGAGACAGCGTGGTGGAGGCGTAGTGGTTTAGTTGCCGTCATCGACGTGCTTTGGACCATGTGATCCGAAGTTCGAGCCCCACCACCGTCACCCAACTTTGGTGTTAGACAGCTCTGTTGTCACCCGGTTCTATACCACGACCTATCGGGTCGGAAGTGTGTTAGGATTTGATTGGTCGATAGTATTAGTTGTTTGTGTGGTTACAAACTAAAAATGAGTGGTGGGTGGTTGGGAATAGGGATGTGTCACACGAATGTTCCACAATGGCGATGGTTTTTCTGTCCCCGGTAGTCAACCAGGCTGGTTGATCCTCTGGAAGAACTGGCTGATGGTTGTACCTATGTAGCTTGCTGAACATGAACAAACAGGTGAGTAGGTAATCACAGAAAAGGTAGAAACAGGCAATTTATCTTTGAGTCTCATGTAAATAATCGACTGATTGGTGACTTCGAGGCGTAAACGTGCCGCTGGGAATGTGCGTGTGATTACTTTTTCCAAACACCGGGTGATTAGTTCACTCTTATCGCCCTTGAAAGGGAGTCGCATGTATAAGTCTTTCTTATTCATTGTTGTCTCTCTCCTCTCTTGTGATTATTTGTTTTGGACTGCTGCTATCAGACATTCAGAATCCAAACGGTTCACTTGATGTCATATTTAAAACATTTAATTCACTTTATTTCATTAGTACCGAAAGGTCACAAATTTCGCGAGATATTAGCAGTTCGTTTGATCTCCTCAATTGCTGATATAAAACAAGCTGGCATAAATGTAGCACATTGGGTTGATTAATCCTGATGAACGGATGTGCACAAGCAAACAAAGATGACTAAACATAAAAGTGAAAGATCGACTGCACGGTAATTTGACTTATTGTATGAAAAACCTCTAGGCGCATTAACTCGAGCGATTGTACGGAGCAATTCGAACAATATCCAACATGTGCCGGATATCACTTATCCTCCACAATCTAACTGTATGTTCACGTTGTTTCCCCAGTACGGACGTATGATGACATTTGTTCTACAAAATTGCTCTATACTATATTTCTCCGTGTGAGAACTTTCGCTTTTGATTGGTTTGCGCGTCAATACGCCCGTTGGTCCTTGTTGTCTTCGTGCCTTGATGCAATTTTTTATTAGCGCGTACCGGTACATTTCCTGTGCGACGGTACCTCAATACATTGCGATCACGTAACAGTTGTTGGGAAGACGAAATCAGGTCAACTGTGTCCCGTTTTCATTAGATGTTTTGCACCAGATATCCCCAGGTTTTTTGTGATAGCCTGACCATCGGTTCTCGGTTGTCGTCGAGTTCCCCAATCACTTTGGAATGTGTTCGGTCGTCCATTGCGATTGTTGACGTTTTGTTCTATCTATGTTTTTGTCGTAATAACAAAATTTTGGCAATTAGTGAAGCGTTGCTTATTCAACTACATCGCTTGATGTTATGTGCACAAATGCTTTTGACAATCCATCCACTTACTCCCGGGCTGATCTTCCACTTCTGTGTTTAGTCATCTTTGTTTGCTTCTACACTTTCGTTCACCACGATTATTGAACCCACTGTGCTATACTTGTATTAGCTGGTTTCATGTCAGCGATCGAGGAGATTAAACGAGATGTTAACGTCTCGCGAAATTTGTCGTTTTTCAACGTACGATATTCACTGCATAAGCGTGTTAGGGGTATAACACTTTGCAGCATAGCGTTCTTGCTCTACCTGTGGTAATCCAGCAAATTTTGCTATAATCAACAGTCTGTACTTATTCCCAAAATGGGATTCATACATCACACATTTTTTATCCCACCACCACTGCACAGTTTCAGGTCAGAGGCTGAAGCTATCGAAATGGCCAATGATACTCCACATGGCCTGGCCGCTTATGTGTACACAAACGATATTCGACAGGCATGGCATATCTCCGAGCAACTTCAATTTGGAATGGTTGGTGTGAACAGTCCCAGAGTGAGTGCACCAGAAATGCCGTTCGGTGGGATCAAGGATTCCGGAATGGGTCGTGAGGGTGGCCCGGACGCATTACACGAGTTCATGGATGCAAAAACTATAAATTGGGATTTGCTTTAGACCTGAGAATGGCGTTCAGAGGATCCACATATCCGCCGGGATAGTGTCAACCTTTTTATGTGGTTCACCTTGAAATTCTCCGTACCATCGCTTTGAAACAGCTCTGAGAAATGAAGCGATTTTCTGCAAATGTCTGTAAATTTACGACCCAGATTCTATTTCGTCTTTTATCACTTTTGTACTTTCCTTCCTACAAGATTAATCATCAGCGCCATTCCCCTTTCCCGAAACTTTATTTGAATTCTCCGGTGATATGTGCATTGTCTTTATTACGATAGTTCTGTCAAAGTCATTATCTCGTCATCTGGTGGTCCATACCTATATTGTCTTTAGATTTCTGTGTTCTGGTTGTGAAAGGGTAAAAGATTGGAAAGTTGAAAGAAGAGAGAACAGAAAATGAAGAATTACAATAGACTAAGGTTTCAAAGAAATTGATAAGATACACGAATACCACTGTTTACGACACAGCCATATCACTCAGTGCCGTAAGCTCGGACTCGGCTTCGGCTATTGGTACAAAGAAATGTAAGAACTGCAATAAGCTTCTGGGTTTCATCCCTCAGGGAAAGGTACTGCTAGAGCTTACGGCGGTCGACTAAGTTGAAGGCCGCTTTCAGATCGAGAAAGACAGAAATTGACTCTACGAAAGCAGTGTTTGTGTTTTAAAATTTGGGAAAGAGTGAAAGTGTGATTGATACAACCTCGGCCAGATCTAAAGCCAGCCTGGTTCTCACGTATACACACTTCACACGCGGCACTCAGTTGACGGAGTATGATCCCAGAGAGAAGGTTAAAGGCAATGTTAATTAAACTAATTCCTCTGTGGTTTTCCCAAGAGAATCTATCACCTTTCTTGTAAATCATTAAGGTAAACGATTCACACCATTAAGTTGGAACCTGTTTCCTCTCCCGTACCGAATCCTGGAGTTTCGTCAACTCCATGACCAAGGCTGAATATTCATCATTAAAAGCTGATGGAAACAGCCCATTCGGGCCGGAGGCTTTATGCCTTTGAAATAATCTATTTGTATTTACATCGATGTTTTCGCGGAAAGATGTCTGTATTTCAGTCACAACTTACACATCATCTCATTGAAAGAAAGAAATGTTAGAAGTGAAACACTTAACCTGCAAGGTTGCTGAGAAATTCAGAAAAACGCGCAGTCGATTTGTGAAGATTTTCGGAAGGTAGGGAACTGTGAACTTTATGTTTAGGTTGATGCGAGAGAATAATAAACAATATGTAGATCGAATGGATGAATGAAAGCGGTATTTGGATAGATCGCCCCGTACAGGGTAGTTGGAGTCATAGAGGATTTTCTGTGTTAAGGTTTCACATGGGATAGATAGATCATCGCGGCCGATAATGGACAAACAGCAACGGATAATTCTGAAGTCTTTCTTAAGTAGTCCAGCGAAAATCACCGGAAAACAATAAAGAATAAGAAAAGCATTGATTAACAAAAAACGAAGTGTTTTTTGTCTGGCGTGGAACTGCCTCTGCTTCGAAGTCGCAAAGACATCCACGTAGTTTCTTTACAGTTGTAGATATGGGATGACCACTTTAAGTTAGTGTCAATGGCAACTGTAAAATACGTCACGAAATCTACTCCGGTTATAGTTTCTGTGTATATGACTGAAGGGTCACGGGGATGAAGAGATCGAGGGAGTGAAAGTGCATTCGAAGCACATGGATAAATTAAGAGACGGTCCAGAACGAACGGAGAGTTCACGAATATGCGATAGATTGCTGGAGAAATTAAGAAGTTTCTCGGGAACATAAATGGCTTAACAAAGGGCTACGTCGTCAGTGTATTTAAATAATTGAGCTGGTGACTCACTGACGGGTTGCTGATCTAGGCGGAAAACCGGAAAGGAGAAAAATTCACTCCTTGGAGCTCTCCTCGTTTGTTCACTAGCGGTCTAGATGTTTTCGCATCCAGTCAAGTGGTGTGCTCTGCTTTTGAAGTAGTCAATGAGCCACGCCAATAGGTGCTTGAGACAACCGAATGCTTCCATTTTACGAAGGAGGAGGGAACGTCAAAGATCGATGAAAAATCTAAGAAAATATCTTGCAGATTTCGCGGATGCGTGTCGGGATTTGGTAACGTGATGTACAAGGGAGGCGACAGCATCCAAAGTGGACCTGTTTGATTTATATGCTACCTGGAGGGGGTCTTCGAGGGTACTAACAGTAGCAGACAAACGTTAAAGAGTAGCACGTTCTGCCAACTTAGGACCGCACAATGTTAGAGCAATCAAACTGAAACTTTTGGCCAGGGTGCTGGATCTGCATGGTCTTGGAACGTGACTGGTCTCCAACAATCAGGATATACCACGTGCTAAGTGGTGTGTTGAGAAGAGAAGTAAAGGCTTAAGTTGGAACAAAGGCATCATACGAATGAGTTTAAACATGCTCTCATGAATGGGCTAATATTAGTAGCATCTTCCGGAATTCAGGAAAAACAGGAGGGTTACTGCTCGGATGTTTAAAATACACCATTTATACTATCAACGTCTGGGTTTCGTTCCACTTAGCATCCGAATACCTTTCCATGGATATTTCCTGCTGTGGCTGCATAGGAGTTGATTTGTATAAGACGAGTCGATACGTCTAATTTCCTTTTTTGCCAGTGTTAAAATGTATCTGATCATTGGTGAGTTCCGCGGTTTGTAGAAGTGTTCCTTTTGTCTCCTTAATGTTTTGAGTTTCGGAGAGGCAATACGAACATTGGAGAGAAAAAGGTTTTTCAAGGAATAACAGATATTGAAGATGAAATTGTTTGTATCGACAAAAAGGTTAACATTATTGGTCAGTGAATGCTAAAAGGAGAACAAGAAAATTGCATGGAATAGAGGTGTTTGAAGTGTGTTTGCAAGCGCTATGTGGGTGCATTCTCGTTATACCACTTTCTGTTATACTCCGTAAATTCCTTTTGATTCAAGCCAGGATGTTGAGGTATTGCCAATTAGGTAGACTTCTAAATGCAAAAGCAGTTAGAAAGGAATAGTGGTGGGTTGTTACTTGTTAATTAGGATGTAATATTGATTAAACCAAATTGGACCCATAGTCACGGAAACCTACTTTTCGACTGCCGCAAGGCGCAACGCAAACGCTTTAGTCTGAATTGTTGAACTTTCATTGGGAGTGAAGTGAAAGTGAAATTGTCTTACACCAAACACAGTTATCTATCATATTTCCTCTCTATTCACCAGTGGACATACGTATATTGGTAAAATAATCGATCCACACACTCTCTCTCTTTTGAAAATTCTTTCATTTTGATTGGAAAATGGTTCATTCGGCCAATAGACGCCTTTTCACATGATATCCTGCAAAGTAAGAGTCGTGCGAATCGTCGTAGCACTACCGAATCGAGGATAGTTACTGGGATAGAATTCGGTGGTACTCGAAGAGAACCAATGAATGTTCCGGACATAACAACCCTGTCCCCTGGGATGTATGATCCAACGCAAAGGATAGGTCCTAAATGAATCATAGACTGCAGAAACTTCCTCACTGTTTTCTTAGTCAAACAGTTCTATTGTCGGTTCACAATGAGGTCATTCGATTGCCGTCTCTAACTGTGGTTATTTCAACAATCTGAAATTTCAACAACTACAGACTCGAACACGAAATTTATATAAACAACCATTTCAATTTATCCGATTTTCTATCGTGCATGGTATTTTCTTCGTGATTATTTTTGTTTTGAGGTAAATTATATACGTAAAATCAAAGCACTACCCTCCGAACGAATATCCAAGTCTCGTCTTGTCTGACCATTTGTAAATCGAGTGACCCAACCAGGATACCACCTAGTTCGTTCTGCTCCCAAGAAAATCCGATGTGATCTTTGCAGTGTATCGGGTCAGCCAACTGGATGCAGATACGCATTAGACAGCAAGCTTGAATAAATGACAACTTATGCGACTTCATGTCCGGAGATTCCGTTGTCGCAGGCGTTTAGCTCTGTGTCCAAATAAACGTATTAAACCGGAAGAAGGATATTTTTGGTCTTTTTCACCTCGGATACACGTGCCACATTTTCGCTGATACACCTAATGGGTCATGGTGTATCGGAAGTGGCAATGGGCACTGTACACTCAGTTCTAAGGAAGTATTGGCCTCATCAAATGCAACGCGTTGAGTTGCCAATGGTAAACCGAAATCATCCGCCAATCCATAAGGTTTGTTTCTAACTACCTCGTAGTCTCTGAAAACCACTGTAGCATTTAGGCCCTCAAGGTCAGTTTCGCCCATCACGTACTCTCCCGCAGGATCCAAAAATTGGTGTGCTTTCTGAAACGAATATACCCCTGTAGGAAGACCGTGCCTTTTCCATCCTTGCAGATGACAAAAAAACATGTAGAACAACCTTTTTTCTTTAATAATTTTATCCACACAAGAATACATGTGGGCAGAATTGATATTGGCCATCAATTTCGCGTGCTCTCATCCAGCCGTGAACGCACATTTATATGATTATGTAAAACGAAGAAGCATAAGAGTTGAAATGAGTCATTTGAACAAAGTGTTGGACAAGTGAGTCGAGTGATCTGTGTTTGGTTTCGGGGGTTGAGGTCAAGTAAGATGAGAAAATCTGATATGGGGTGAACTGGACCAAACGACGTGGTGAATGTGGTGAACTAGGGAGGGAGGAGGGAAGGTCATGTCACGTCATGCTATGGTAGGGTGGCTACAAGTGTGACGACATCACTACCATGGCAAAAACAGTTGCGTCACAAATGTTTTTCAAACACCTAATTGCGGTTTCAATCGATGAATAATTATCGCCGAAATTGCACAAACCGGGGATCCGATTACGATCAATCCTATCGATGGTTAACTCTCCCCACAACAAACGCGCACAATGGTTGGCGAAGCTGATTACTCGAATTATTGCCAAACTGTGCAGATTCGAACTGAGGAATACATTCCAATTAAAAGAACCAATACCAGACGTGAATTACCGTCGTTGTTTTCTCGCCTCTAACGA